ATACAATGTCACTGCTTTCACAGTTGGCTTAGTTTTAGCTGTGGTTAATGACTAACCTTGTGTTCTGGATGGATAGTCTCAGAAGTTCCTGATTGGCGGAGACAAATGCAGTCATATGGCAGGAAAAACCCTAAACATCGACCAAACTTCAGTCTACAGAACACCCGAGACCGGCGGTGTCGAACTCCAGGCAGGTTTTAGATGTGTCCTCGATCCAACACAGCTGATTTAAATAGCTAAACTGCCCCCTCAACATGTCTTGAAGTTCTCCGGATGCCTGGTAATGAACTAATCATTTGATTCGGGTGTGTTGACCCAGGGTGAAATCTAAAACCTGCAGGACACCCACCCCAGAGACCTAGAGTTCGACACCCCTGGACTCAGGTGTTGTCTTGACTGAAGTTTGGCCCGTGTTCAGTGTTTTTCCTGCCATATGACTGCATTTGTCTCCGCCAATCAGGAACAGTCACATTAACTTCTGCTTAAGGGTAAATTTAACGCTCATCCCCCATACTCTCTATGCTAATATGTAACCATCTGCTTGCTAGTGGTAAATGCAAAGTCAGAAATTTTTTAATATAGGCTTAAACACCCCAGCTCAAAGAATATAGACCTGTAGGCCATTATTTCCGTAGTAAATGTATGTGCTAGGATAAGCCCGTGTGAGCCATTGAGATAGTAGTAAGTGCCACTATTCCCAACAGACCAGTAAGTATAAATCAGTGACACATCCCACTGGATGATGGAGAGGGTGATATTTAGGCAACATTCATCACTGTCATTATAGAACATCTCCATGCTTACACCATCAGACAGTAACTATGATGATGCAGCCAAGGTTCGCTGTGTATTTTATGGCGCAACAAAGAAAGTATGGTACAGCACTGTACAAGAGAGCAGTGGTTCAAAATAAATCTATTTATATGTTTAAGGCGCAGATGGAGAGGAGAGAAACCACGTTAACTTCCATAGCAACTCAAAGTCACGCTTGGACGTTATATCATAGTTATTGTAGCCTAGGTCGCTGCACAGCCAGCTAGCCCAGGAGACCTCGGGGTCCTCTCGCAATGCAACATGGCCGGTACCACCCACTGCATCGACGGCTCTGTCGCACATCGGGCTGAAAACAAGACTAATGTGTCACACGCACCGCACACCGCAGAGCATGCAAGCGCAAACATCGGCATCTGTTGACACCTTCTGCATAAGCGTCCTTCTAAAGT